CCAGTGCTTGGACACGTACGTCGACGGCGACGGCAACGACGTGCTCCATGTCTACAAGTGCGACGAAGGCAACGACAACCAGAAGTGGGCGTTTGTCGCCGACGGCAAGGTCGAAGTCATGTCGGAGCCGTTTGAGGACTTGCCGACGCCGGCGCCCACGAAGGCCAGCCTCCGCGCGACCAACCCGCCCGCGACGCACAAGCCCACGCCCAAGCCGACTCCCAAGCCGACGCACAAGAAGACCAAGCGCCCGACCAAGGCGCCGGTCGCGCCGTCGGACCCGTTGGCCGAGAAGTGCGGTGACTGCATCAACAACTGCCAGTTCCTCGGTGCCGGCTACACGCTCTGCTACAGCGGCTGGGACCAGCACGTCTGCTCGCTCATGGGCTCGACGCACCATTGGTGCGGAGCCCCGGCGCCCAAGACCGAAGCCCCGGTCGAGGACGACGACGACGATTCGGACGACGACGACGAGACGGACGCCCCGGAGACGCCTGCCCCGACGCACAAGTCGACGCAGGCGCCGACGTTTGCGCCCCATGTCGTCGAGAAGAACCCGGACTTTGAGATCGAGCCCTTCACGATCACGACCAAGACCGGCATGGTCATGTCGCACAGCCCGCGTGGCAAGTGCATTGGCATTGACGGCCAGGAGAACGTGATCATGACCGAGTGCCGCTTTGACGCGTCGACGACCTTCAGCGTGCGCCCGATGGCCGGCGAAGAGCTCCACCTGAGCGTCGGCGGCAGCGAGTGGAAGCTGACCGAGTACTACGGCCGCGTGCGCGCGTCGACGGACCCGATCGCCGAGGCCCACCCGGACACGCAGATCTGGTTCTTCGACTCGATCTCGCAGACGATCCGCAACAAGGCCAACGGCGCCGCGTGTCTCGAGATGGTCGAGGACAAGGTCGGTGGCCTCGTCGAAGGCCGCCTCTGCGACGAGACCAACGTCATGCAGAAGTGGGTCTACAACGACAAGACCGGCCAGTTCATCCACCACGTCAAGCTCGCGCAGTGCCTCAGCGCCGACGGCGTCAACAAGGAGATCCGCGTCCAGTTCTGCGACACCAAGGCGCTGTACCAGAAGTGGTACATGAACCTCGTGCACGCGACGACCAAACACGAGTCCGTCGAGCTGACGTGGCAGACGCCGTTCCCGACGCCGGCCCCCGGTTTCCACTTTGCCCCGACGCCCGCGCCGACGAAGCCCCAGCCCAAGGCCCCGGTGACGCCCGCCCCGACGGATGCCCCGGTGACGCCTGCCCCGACGGATGCCCCGAAGACGGACGCCCCGACTGCTGCCCCCACTGATGCCCCGACGGCTGCCCCGACTGACGCCCCGACTGCTGCCCCCACTGATGCCCCGACTGCTGCCCCCACGGAAGCCCCCACGGCTGCCCCGACGGAAGCCCCGACTGCTGCTCCCACGGACGCCCCGACGGCTGCCCCGACTGACGCCCCGACGGCTGCTCCCACGGACGCCCCGACTGACGCCCCGACGGCTGCTCCCACGGACGCCCCGACGGCTGCCCCGACTGACGCCCCGACGGCTGCTCCCACGGACGCCCCGACCTCTGCTCCTACGGATGCCCCGACGGCTGCTCCCACGGACGCCCCGACTGCTGCTCCTACGGATGCCCCGACTGCTGCTCCCACGGCTGCCCCGACGGAAGCCCCGACTGCTGCTCCCACGGACGCCCCGACGGTCGCGCCTGCTGGCACGTGCAAGCCCTACACGATTGCCCTTGGCGACTCGTCGTGGAAGATCCTTAGCACCTTCTGCTCGGGCTTCGAAGGCAAGTGCGCGAAGGACGAGAGCCAGCCTCACATCGCTGGTGCCGACGGCAAGCTCTGCCCCAGCTACTTGCGTGTCGACTCGGAGATCCAAGTGTGCTGCACGGACAAGTTCCCGTACGTCGTGCCGCCCAAGGACAACGTTGAGGTCCCGACGCCCGCGCCGACCAAGGTCACGGATGCCCCGACGCCGGCCCCTGAGGTTGTCACCGACGCCCCCAAGACGGACGCGCCCACGGCTGCTCCCACGGACGCCCCCAAGACGGACGCGCCCACGGACGCTCCCACGGACGCCCCTAAGACCGACGCCCCTACGAACGCTCCCACGGACGCCCCCAAGACGGATGCCCCGTCGGCCACGCCCGAAGACGACGAAATCCCGACGCCGGCCCCGACGAAGGCCAGTGCTGCCCCGACGGACGCGCCTACGGAAGCCCCCAAGACTGACGCCCCCACGGACGCACCCACGGACGCACCCAAGACGGATGCTCCCACGGATGCCCCCAAGACCGACGCCCCCACGGACGCCCCGACTGCTACCCCCACGGAGGCCCCCAAGACCGACGCTCCTACGGCTGCTCCCACGGAGGCGCCCAAGACGGACGCTCCTACGGATGCCCCCAAGACGGACGCTCCTACGGATGCCCCCAAGACGGACGCTCCCACGGATACCCCCAAGACCGACGCCCCGACTGCCGCCCCCACGGATGCTCCCACGGAGGCCCCGAAGACGGACGCTCCCACGGACGCCCCGAAGACCGACGCCCCGACTGCCGCCCCCACGGATGCTCCCACGGAGGCGCCCAAGACGGATGCACCGACGCCGTCGGTCGACGACTCGGACGACGACTACGAGCCGCCGACGCCTGCCCCGACCAAGGGTGCTACGGCTGCCCCCGTCGACGTCACTGCGTAAGCGTCTCGCGCTCTCTACGACCAATGCCTGTCGCCTTGCCGTCGGTTGCGTCCCAGCGCCGCGGCTTTCCCACGTGTCGTCGTAGTGAACGCATTGCATAATCTCCCCTCTCTGTAATTGCACCATTAAGTTGGCTGTAAATCTTATCTGCTTCTGTCGAGTCGCCAACGAAGCGTCAACCCCAGCAGTCGAG